GTAACCTTTTGGCTTACAATTAATCCAGAAAGAATATGCGATTGAACTTCACCGAAAGCCATAGGCTAAAAAATGAAAACTACACAATTTCACAATTTCGTACAGCTTGTTGGCAAGACAAACAGCGTGGTGTGATCAAACTACGATTTAAACTACTATATGTGATTAAAGACTTTATTTCTTAGCGCACGTTTTATTAGCGGTCAACACGGTCGGGTCGCAAGCCATCAAACACTATTTCGACCTTACTGCTCATCACCATCTACGACAAGTGAATCTGATTCTTACTTGTTAAGCTTGTTAAAGTGATGGATAATTGATAAAAGGATCAATCGTTAGACGTTGGTCAATCTCTGAGGGGTACACCATGCATTCAAATTTATTGAGAGTCTTAGTGGTCATTGAATTTATATCTGACCTAAACAATAACTGGCAGTGAACAACATATTTTTCAAGTCGGTATTTTTATCTACAGAGGAAAGTCTTGCACAAAATAGCCAACCGCGGAATGATGGAAAGCTTGGTAAGCCTGCGGCGCAGGATCGAACAAGTGACAGATCCATTGCCTATTGAATGGCACCGTTTAACTACTGATCTAAATAGCGAAATGTTTTTGTAAACGTTTGACTGGGAATTTATTGACAATTTAATGTGAACAGACACGACTGCGTGCAATTACAGAAACGTTTAATTAGAATGAGAATGAGAAACGGAGCTGGAAGGTGCTAAGTTCGGCTCTTAGTTAAGAGATGAAAGTAAAAAACTTCATGGTAGGCTTTTCCTTATGGTATTCTCTTTCATGAAAATTCAAGTTTTCCAGGGGAAAAGAGCTCCGTCAGTGGGTGTAAAAGTTTCTTGGCAGGACGACACACATGAAACTAACCACATTGTTATGAATGCTCTCCACTGGACATCTTCATAGTCTGCTCGAAAATTCGGCAATTGCTGTATATCCCGTGGTTGAAATGGAAAAAAAACGGCAGTGTCACTCGTACTATGCGAAGAGACAACTAAACGGCTTGAAGGAAAAAGGATAAAGCTCTCGGCGTTGATCAATCTCTGAGGTATGCGCCACACATTCTACTTCATTAAGCATCCTTGGAGGTGATGAATGCATATCTGGCTTATACAATAACTTCGGCCCACCGATTTATCGAGTCAGTGCTGCTATCCACCTAAACAGGCTTGGTACCAACTTTCGTGACCTGGAGTGATGGAAAGCTTAGTGAACTTAGGACACCGTATCGAACCCATATGTATATTGGGGTCTCTCTATAGCAGTTGCTAGTGGAAATTAGGTCTTTGAGTCAGTTCTCGGCACCTCATGATCACAGGATTTGAGTAGGACGCTCAACTTCATAAGTTACCACGCGGAACTTTTTCGTGCTTGTCGCAAAGCAATATCTCAAACTTGGGTAATTAAATCGTTTATAGCAACAATAATTCAAGAATAACGAAATATAAACATTGGTACAATACATACCGCAATATTGTATCATGATCAATAAATGAGGGTAACGCGGGTTAGTACCTTTGCTATAGGCCAGTAAAACGGTGCCATGTGCATTTAGAATGCCTCAAGAGCGTCACATGATCCAGGCGCATTAAGGGATTTATATAAGACCGTAATACCTGACTCACGAATAACAATACTAAAGGGTTACACACTATGTGTAGGCTTGTGATGTGGTTCTGATGAGGTTAACACGTTAAGAGCGACATGTAAGCTTGTTGTAGTTGCACGAGTTCGGGTACGGTTTACCTGGTCTCCTATAGAGCGTGCAGGAACTGTAACATTGGGATGAGGTTATGTGTTAATTTGTAGGTACATTGCGATTAGGTTAACGTATTGAAGAATACATGTAAGTGTATGAGTATACTGCGATGTGGTTAATGTGAACACACAATAGAGTTATCGTGCTCAGAGGTACATGACAGCAAAGTAATTATACAACAGTGACCACATACAACAAGAGAGAACACCATGGATTAACTACAAGGCGCATTACACATAATGAACAGGGGGGCGAATGCGGTATTGACGCATAGGGCTATTTAAATGTCTTTTGGAGGAGGCGGTGCTTTGGCACAGGTCTAGAACCTTTACCGAAAACACCTATCAACTTCCGTCTTCAGCTCCCTCGTGATCAAATGACCGAGGACGATTTGCCGGACAGCTTCATGCCTCTTTGTGTTACCGTGCCCGTGATGGTTTGGAACAGATGCAACACACAAAAGGTTCCGAGTGCATAAAAAGAGTGTGGATCACAAAGGATGTTTACGAAAACCAAAATTTCTCTCAACGAAGTGAAAACGTTTATATGCTGCAAGATCGCAAAGCGATGTGAGAGACCACGAATATGGTTATCACAGACCCATGATATGATGAAAGAATAGTAACTGTTCTGGTAATAGTTGCTATACCCTCTAACCACTCCGCTACACGCAGCAACGGCCTGCTGAAAAACAGTTCTTGTTACCATTGAAGATCTAGAACTTAAGTTATTTTGGATGACAGGTTCTTGAAAAACATCACTGGTTAATCAATAACGATAAGAGACAAACAGACCACTGCAGTCAGGAATTTCTTTCATATGAACAAGGTACCAATAAAGCCATTACACTTTGAGCATTAAGTTTTAGAGAGAAAAAGGGGTAATTTTATTATAAGTGAAACACAGTTTTCACTAGACCATCTTCAGAGCACATGGTTACTTTGATTGAAGCCGTTAGCAGTTGTTCCAGGTGAGGACACCATTGTCAACTTGGATGTCCAGAGTTCCGATTTTTTATTGATGGAGAGGTCTTTTGCGAGTTCTTCATTACAAACACTAATCGCTTTTATAATGCTGAGATATTTGCAAAACTCCGGACCGCAGGTGTGTGTGGTGGGGAACGAACGCGCTATTATCCTTTCCGGGGAGTAACGCGTTCACCACCACACCATGCGGGTTCTTCGTATCACCTGTCTCTCAGCTAGTTCTATCGATCACTTGCCATTATCAATCACCCGTCAACGGGATTGATCTGGGGAGCCCAAATCGGCATTGAACCCAGTTAAGCTGAGGATATAGTTATACTCACAATCTTAACCTTTTTATTTACTGCCTATTCTTTTTAACGGCAGGGTATTTGCGAAATACAACACAATGACGTTGAGATATTTGCAAAACTTGGACTGGATTTGAGCCCGTGATTATCCCATCCGGCTACTCACGTGTACATACTAACCACTTTGTTAAGCTATTATTGTATTGCCTATGCTTGCCCTTAACTATTGCACGAGACTTCTTTCAACTGTTTTTCGTTAATTAAATGTCACGTGCAAAAAGAGCAAAACTCGTCCGCGACATAAAAACGGCAACGCTGGGTTCTCCAAGAATTAATGATGAAGTTTCGATAGTAACTTATCACCTTCTCATGGCGAAAAACTCTCTAAGTGCCATATTCCACTGTTTCAAGCAGAGAGCATTCTGCATGATTTCACTGGTGACAATGTATATTGCATACTTTCTTCCGTAACAATAGTCTCATGCCGAAAAGTGTACTCATCCAAAGAAGAGTTTCTTGCAAATCATCAAGTTAAGGGAACAGATTTTCATGAACTACGTCTACCATAACATCTATGTTGAATCTGTAAACTGAGTGGAAGGTGTACGTTAGCTCTATTGAGCAATACAGATCAGTGAAGAGATGTCTATAAGATGCAACGCAAGTTCCTCCTTTTACCCCAAATCACTTGCATAAAAGAAAATGCATTTCGACCATTCTGTGTTAAACAGCTAATTCGCAGTGGTCACTAAGAAATGAAAGTACTTCAATGAAGGAAACTGTATATGCCATATGTCCGCAAAACGTGTAAACTTGAGAAAATTGTAGTCGGGAAATTGCGGCAATATCACTATCAGAGATTCGTTACTGTGTCCATTCACATTTCAAATCAATAACAGTCACCAAACTGGTTTACTGGTAATGTCCCGTTGTTTTTTTTTGCTAACCAGGGGACTTGGGAAGTTGTGAACTTAACCTTTTTACTGAAGAAAGTTTGCTGTATTGTTTGAAGATGTACACTATGCACAATATATTGCAATTGTCAACCATTCAACCGCATTACTTTTAGCATTTACTATTTTGTTCCTAGTGCCTTTTTTAGTTCTCTTTTTCCGGTACGACCCCGTTTACATTGATCTCGTTTCGGTTACCTATTGAAAGGTGGTTCCTGTATGTCGGGCTGCAGTGGATGGCTGGTGGATTCATGCCCTCAGCAGGGCCTCCCAAGCTGAGGAGTCCGGCATTGCCATCAGGAAGCTCATCGAAGAGTAAACCAATACCAGAATCCACCACCTTCCTGGTATCAAACTAATCCCATCGTGGCGAATCTCACTCTGATACACAAGTGATCTCGGGACTCCAGGGAACCACAGTGGCTAACCAGCAAAATTCCGAAACAATGGAGATTCTTCTGCAGCCCGCACAACCAGTGAAGACGGGCCATCCAACTGTCGAAGTGAGGAAAAAAAGCTTCTGTAATCTATTGAACTGGAAATGGATACTGTACCTCCATATCGCCCACTTGCGTCGTCCCGTTTGCACATATGCATCCAAAATGTTGTGTTTGTGTTGACGCATGGTGCTTTTCCCTTTTTTCATAAAATTCATGAATGTTTTCATGTCGTAGTCCTTTTCTTTAAGCGTTGTGACACAACAGAATAATTCCATAATCCATATTTTGAGTTCTCGGGAAACGTTCTTCCTTTCTAACTGTGAAGTTCAAATTGAAGTAAATTATTTTAAGGCAATCAAACACGAGCTTGTGATCATGGCTCTTAGAAGTACAGTAAGATTTCTTTCCAGTGCGCTTTATGGTAGCAGAGGAAGAAGTCTCGCGTTAGCTCAAGGTTTGCAATGAAATTGCTTTATAGCTCCAGCTCTACGGTTTTTATTCTATTAAAGCTAGCTCCATTTTTTTGGACAGTTACCTTCCTGGTACCCCGTCAGATATGTTCATGAGGTTTTCAGCTGTAACTGTCCGTGATGCCATAAATGAAGCCTTAGATGAGGAAATCAGACTCGATGACCGCGTCTTTTTAATTGGAGAGGAGATTGCGCGGTCTGGAGGAGCATACTTGGTTTCGTCTGACAGTCCATTTTCTAGTCACTTTTTGCCTCTTCACATTATCTTTTCGCAAAATGAGTTTCTTTAGGTTACGAAAAGACTCTGGAAGAAGTATGGAGATGATCGGGTTATAGATTCTCCAATTACTGAGATGGGGTTTACAGGTAATGTATAGATTGTTAAATTCTTTTACAGCCTAATAAAATCTTTTACTGTATGGTATTATATGAAGTTCAACCACAATGAAGCTGAGTTATTTGCAAAACACGGGGTCGCAAGTGTCTGCGCTAGGGATGGAACACGCTATTAGTGTAGATTGTTATTGTCGTCAGCTCAACATTTCTATTTCTATAAGTGTATGCTCTGATGAAAAGTTAGGAAATTGAAAACCTTAACGTGTTCTAAACGTTATTGGAACGATAACGTTTTTTCTTTGTTAGGCTGTGGATTTTCGTTTCACAGCAATTTCTCTTTAAAAAGTTCGGTTTCTGACTAACTGGCAAGTTACAATCGTTTGTTGTGATTCCTCTGTGTCTGGATGTCCGAGTAGTACGTTGCACCTCCGTAAGGAAAACCTTATAGTTTTCAGGTCTTGCCGTTGGTGCTGCCTTCGCCGGTCTTCGTCCAGTTTGTGAATTTATGACGTTTAACTTCGCAATGCAGTCTATAGACCATATCATTAATTCGGCTGCGAAGACTCACTATATGTCCGCTGGGAAGGTGCGTTCATCCTGAAATAGTTAGAGCCATGGTTTTCTGTCTAGGGGAAATCTGTTTTTTCTTTGGAGACGTTCACATATTTGTGCTATAGATTGGAGATTGTTTGGGTTGAAGCTATACGTCATCGAGTGTTTACTAGGACTTAAACATGCGTCCAGATTACTTATAAATATTTAACGCTTTTGTTCTTCTACAGGATTTAGATGATGGTCGTTGGGTATTCATTGTTGCGTGTAGTAGAAAGAGATCGATTCCTCTGAGTACGGAAGAGTCCTGGGAAAAGTTATTGTTGTGGTGTTAAGCAAAATTGTGGTTGTACTTCTAGGAATCCGAAAAAAGCAGGTTAATCAATGATGAACTGAATTTGACCGACAGGTATATCATCTGGTCATATTAACTTTGTGCTCGTTGTGTCAAGAGAGTTGTGGAAATCGAAGAGCACCTTTCATATTTTTCCACGTGGGGTGTGAGGAGAGTGTTCTGTCTTTTTTTTTCGTTTTTAACTAATTTAGTTCCAACTAACTCGTTTGAATTTATGGCTTTTAACTGCTAAATACCGTTTTGCGAGCATTTTAGATATCATGCCCTGTTGTATTTCGTGGACCTAATGGCTTCGAGCCTGGTATCGCTGCCCAACATACGCAAGACTATTCTGCATGGTTTGCACATTGTCCTGGAATGAAGGTCTTGTATATATTTCTCGTACAAACTCGGAAGAATCTAATCTTTAGGAAGAAATTTATTATTGTTTTGTGTCGGAGTACTCTTTGTTAAGTGATTTTGATGCTGTATCACTTGTTATTCAAGGTTATAATTCGTTTAGTATTCGTGGCCATGGTTTATCGTGCATAGATCTTCTGTTAATAATCCCATCAAGAACTAAATGTTGACGAGAACTTTTCAGGTGTTGGCACCCTATAGTTCAGAAGACGCTAAAGGGTTGCTGAAAGCAGCCATCAGGGACGATAATCCAGGTGTGTTTTAACCGTTTGCATTTTTTAGAGATTCTTGTTTCACATTATTCGCGATATCTTTTCTTCTAGTGTGTGGGAAATGGGGAATAGGTTTCTAGATTAGTAGTTACCACTTCGCTGTTGTACTTGAGAGGAAGGTACTCGACCTTAAACACCGTACTACGTACCCGGCTTTAACCACCGTATTACGTACATTGTACTCCTTGATATGTACATTGAGCTCTGTAATATTCTAATTTTTGTAATAAATTGTGCATGCTACTTTTACTCCGTCTATCACAGATCGTCGCCTTTTGAAAAGGGAACAGGAGGGATTTACTGAAGTTATTTCTATATCGATACATCCTCCCTCATGATTCATCACTGAGTGCGTTTTCTTGAGTGTCGAACTACGGTGCACATTGGTGATTATGTCCCAAGCAGTTTCCATACTGAAAAGCAGCGTCTTCCTGCTGAAAATCCAGCTAAGGAGAAACCAATGTGAGGAATTATCGCCATCCTAGGAACAGCATGGTCACCAACCGGCAAGCGATGACAACCCAGAGAAACCTTTACAGGATTTACTCTGATGAAACCTCCCAACGGTTTACCGCCTCATCGTGGCTGGGAGACGATGTATAACGAGGAGGTCCACCCCACCTCCTTGGCAAGGTCACCCATGCTGAAAAGTAGATCGGCGTTCCCGTGAGGAAACCTAGCTAAGAGTAAACCAATACCCAGGATCCACCACCGTCCTGATGTCAAACTAATGGCATGATGGCAAATCCCCCGTTGAACCACAAGGACGGTGACTTTTCGTAGTGGTGATAACCTGCGGCAAACTTTGGCCAGGCTGACTTCCGGACTCCAGGAAACATAATGACTAAACCAGCAAAACTCCCAAAACGGAGAATATTTTGGGGCCCACACAACTAGTCAGGACGGCCGTCCAAGTATCTAAGTAGCCAAGGACTCTGATGAAAGGAATCTTGCCCCACTAACGAATTTTCACGTAAGTGGAAATAATGTTGGGAGCCATACAACTGTTTCTGATTTGTGACTAGATGTCATTTAAGTATTCAAATAAGTGTCGTCGATAAATTTTGAAATAGTTTAGGTAATTTTTTGGGCAACTGCTCCTTTGTTAAGGAAAAATAACACTTTGCTTTGCATGCCCTTGCTGATGGAGGTTCAGAAGCTTAGCCCGGCCACATCAGTGGATCCATATTGCGTGTACCCACAATGAAGTTCTGCATTCAGCAACACGAGTTCCACATGGAGGGTGTTCCCGTTTGACAAGATTCGAGGAACTTGTTAGCAAAGTAAGAGTGGGAGACATCGCGTTCCTTACCAACCACCTTGCTAAGAATACCACAGTATCGCGGAGAGTCTACGTGTTGTTCGGCAAGCATAAAGATACTGGGCTTGTTTATTTAAGTAAACCCAGCGCATATTTCGAACTCACCAGCCAAACAGGATTCCCTTGTGTTTAATTAGGACCACATCAAGGCAGTCTCACGAGCTTACAGTGGCTATTTGTTGTTGTCTTTCTGCAAATAGACATGAAAGTATCTTATATCAGAAGTGTGGTCCTCTGTTGTATATGTGATATGCGCTGTTGTTTAACGCATAATATCGTACTTGTTGACTTTTTCCTTGAAAAAAAAAAGTTGATCTGTCTCTTCAAATGGAGATATGGTTTTTCAGGTTTTTTTCCTTCAATTTGTTTAAAGTTCGGGTTCTTTCACAAGAGAAAGAGGGAAAGGTTTGGATTTGGAAAAGAAATTTTTCGATAAAGTACCAGTTTCACAATGTGAACTCCGACGACGAGAAAGGTGAAAAATTGAAATGAATTATGAACTTCGCAAAACCTGTTTTCATCTTGGTGAAATAAAGAAGTCTACATAATTCTTGCAGTGATGTATAGTTTCTGATGGTTTTCATTTCGATTGGGAAAACTCACTGTTAGCTGAGTTATGCTGGATAAAAAGAAAATCAAAGACACAATTGTTTTCGACCGTGTGTAACCGAGAAGTCAAACCCCATGTCAGGTCTTACGCGTCAAAATGTTCATTACTACTTTTGCTGCTTATCTCTGGTTCGTTTTTAGTTGTATTTCTGGAAAATGCGGTACTGTATGACCGTTTGTTCCCCGTTGCTGACGAAGTGCTACACGATGACTTCGTATTGCCAATAGGAAAGTGCAAAATTGAAAGGTGCGTTTACAAGTGCTTGCTTTTACGTTGTAAGTTCTATTTCTTTAGAGAGGGGAATCACGTAACGATTGTTTCTTTCTCAAGGGGCGTTGAAATGTCTCTTGAAGCTGCGAGTGAACTAGAAAATCTTGGCATTTCTGCAGAAGTATGTCCATCGCTTTTCTGTTTGTGCATTTACAAGATTGTTTTGACATTTAATAACTGGTATTTAAAGTAGTGCGACGTATTTGTTTGTTTCGCAATGTGAAAAGTTCATTATTCTCAACAGGTGATCAATCTTCGCACTTTGCGTCCACTTGATTTTGAAACGATTAAAAATTCGGTCATGAAAACTCGTCACTTGGTCACGGTTGAGGAAGGCTGGCCATTTGCAGGTCAGTGTGATATAATCTGAGACGAAAGACGAAAGCCCTTATTCAATAAGTAAACTGAGGTCATGTAGCATGGTATTGTTGGAATTTGTCTTAGTGGTACAGTTTTGAGTTGTTTAAAAAGTGTTCCCAAGGCTTTTTATTAGTAGATTCCCTATTGTTTCGATTACCAAATTACTATTTAGTTTTACGCAGTCTTGCAGGAATTGGTGCTGAAATTAGTGCTCAGGTGAGTGAGTGTGAACTATGGGACTACCTAGAGGCTCCAATTTTTCGCATCTGTGGAGCCGACGTGCCAATGCCATACGCACAACATCTCGAAGAGGAAGTTGTCGCAAATGCGACGCATATTGTTACTGCATGTGAGAAGAGTTTCAAACATAAAGTGAAAAAATAGTGATATAGAGACTATTCTGTACCTAATAGAGAATACTCTTTATTCTCATATGCTATCCTATGTCTCTTGTGTAGGTTGTTTACATATTGTAGAGGACACTTCTGAGAATTTAGTGAATATATCTGCACCCATGGATTAGAATTGTTCTGTTTAGCGCTGTTGATATCGTCCTTGTGTAAGATTTCTGCTCTTGTGTGGTATAGTCGCTAATATTCATTGTCACTACCTTGTTTAAAAGAAGCTACCTCTTTTATTTGTATTGAACTACCTCTTCTATAAAAGCTACCAAGGCTTTATTTGGTGTCCTTACTCGTAGCTTTTGTAATACTACTGAACTACCTCTTTGAAAGCTGCTAAAATTTTGTCTGTATCTCGTAGTTTTTCTAACACTTTTGAACTACCTCTCCTATAGAAACTACCAAACCTTTATCTAATGTACTACCACGTGGCTTTTGCAGCACTATTGAACTACCTCGTAGCTTTTGTAATACTATTGAACTACCTCTTCTGTGAAAACTACCAAGGCTTTGTCTAATGTACTACATCGCAACTTTTGTAACACTATTGAACTAGTTCTTTTGTAGAAACTCTTAGAACTTCGTCTGATGCACGTTTTCTTAGCTTTTGTGATACTACTGAACGATATTTTCTATAAAAACTATCAATATTAATATCAAAACTTTGTCCGGTGTACTTTAGTGCGCTACATTCGCTTGCATATAGTTCTCACATTCTTTGCTTCCTCATTTTCTTACCGGTAGCAGGATTCAATTAATCCTCCATCCATACATGATTCATTGACTGCTGTCGTATATTACGCGCAAACCGTGTGCAAAACTCGATAATGTGCAGGGAATGTTTTCATTTCAAGCAAAGTTCCTTTCTACAAAGCCACAAACTAGAACGTAGAGTAGAGCGCTGACGCTATCAAAGAAGACCAAAGCTTTGGTTGGTTGTTGATAACTAGAGCCACATATATGCATAGGCAAAAATCCCTTTGACACTTTATTTTTAAGGTATGAGTAAGAGATTGCACATAAATAGGGAAAGATCTCCAGTTTCGATGTAGTATACTCTTTTTATCGAGTTTTGAATTTGTAATCTTAACTCTTGTTGATGCCTTGATTTTGATATAAAGAGCTCTTATAGTACGCATTACAATTCCAGCAAGCCCCAGTGAGACGACCTATTTGCCGGTGGAATGACATGGGGAACTTTCGAGAGAGTTGGAGTTTCTTTTTTCAATATATAAAGATTCAGAAATAAGTATGGAATTAGTGGGTAACTTTCGTGTGATAAAAGAGTTTGCCTCAAGAGAGAGATATCTAATGAAAATACGTCTTAATCATGAGAACATGAAAATTGAGGTTATTCCGATCACCAGTGAGATTAACACGGTTGAGAGAAAGCGGAGCAAAGGACACGCATAGTGTGGTGGTGAACGCGTTAGCCTCCGAAAACGGTAATATCGTGTTCAGTCCCAACCGTGAACACCAGTGGTATGGAGTTTTGCAAATATCTCAGCATAATTGATGAGATGGTTGCATAACAACTACAGTCCGCTCTCTGGTTTTGTTTAACTGCGGCTTGGGATGGCTCCTAATTTTTCGCTGCTGTTGATGTGAATTAGGTTCAATTTGTACCAGTCACTTTGCTAAAACAATCTTGTCCTTTTATTGTGGAGTGTTCTTAAAGAGGGTGAATGGTGCAGTGATAATGTTGCCGTTCATTCTGTGGAGGGACCCAGCTACTCAAACGTTAGCTCGAACCCGCGTCGTGTCCACCAAGGTTTCCGTACCCCTAGGATCAGGAAGCTAGTGGGAGATTTGTCTGGGACCAACTCACTCCCTTCACTTCACGTGTAGATTCCGTCACATTACTCTCAGAATTTTGGGAGAAATCGAGTCGACCGGTACTCAACGACGTTTACGAAAATCCTCATTCAGCAGCGGAATCCACTAGCAAAGGAGGTTTTAACACCTGCATAAATGGTGGAAACGAGGGAACGAATCGAACATAAGAAGTGTTGGGACGCGCCCAGTGTAGTACATGTGAAATCGGGTCATGCAAAAAATGTTTAAAAAAGGTTCTTGTACACCGTTGAAGACGAACTCTATTTGCTGTTGTGGGAAATTACGAATGCCTTCTCAGCTATGTACGCTTTCGATAGTGGAACGATCAAACTCATGGGGAAGCTTTGTTTTGTAAGTTATACAATATAAAGCGCAACTTTTTTCGGCTGACGCATGTCGGCGCTGGAACAGTTGTCGGTTGGATACAAAAGTATATGGACGAAGATCCATGCCCCAAAATGTACCACCAGGAAGAATACGAATTGAGAACAGTTAATACCAACTTTCTGCTTTTGTACGCCCCACTTACGAATTGAAATCAACTCACGTTGTCTCTAATTATTGTATAAACGATTACATGAACAATTACAGTTTTATGAGGCAAACAACAATAGGAGTGGTCAGCAATATTTTTAGATCACACTTCGGATGAATTCCGAAAATTAAATATCTCCACAGTGAAAGAATCATAGATCCTTGTATAGGAAAAAGTAGGTGTTTTAACAAGAGGTGCAAAATGACACCATAATTGAAAAGCGGTTATTAAGCATTCGGCAGATGTTTTTCTTTTCGAATCCTCATTGAGAGCAGGCTGAGGCCAAATGGCCAGAATTAGCCTTATTCGGGCTAAATGTTTTTATCTGGAGTTACTCGTTGAGGTGTTTAGACAACTTATCGTTTTTTTCCTAGAGTAATTACAATTGGCACAACTTCGATTTCGCCATTTTGACGAATTTTGTTGTAGTTGTTTTTGTGATTTTTTAGTCAACTTTGTGGTCGTTTGTGATATCTTGTGAAGTGTTATAGTTAGAATTTTAGATTTATGTGGAGGCGTTGTGTATGTAGCCTATAACGCCCGGTACCGGTATACAGTAACCCAAAACGCCTGGTGCCAGTATCGACGTTATGGTGTCCATCATTTTCAGTTCAATCCATTCCAGAACGTTTTTTTTTTATCGTACTATGTATATTCATTCGATATCCAATCGAAACCAGATCGAAATAACAGGAGTGAAACCAAAAAAGCCATTCTCTGCATTTCATCACTTACAGGAAACGTTTTAGGAAAGGTGACTGACCAGTAATTTGACTGACAACTTGTTTTATTGTAGTCATTATGATTATTATATGGAATGTGTCGATAGAGAAAACATCGAAATGGACTCAAAAGAGGGTGCAGAATGCTTCCAAGTGCTAACAGCAATGTGTTTGTGTAGACAGAGCAATGTACCATGGTAACACAGAGTAAATAGTAGCATACATATCATTCACCCTCATGGAACGATTGAGGAAAATTTCTTCTACAATTTAGTACGGTTCACAGCTCCAAAAGCGCTCTACTTCTTGAACATAGGAAAAATTATGTTTTATTTTTGATAAACCAGGAAGTTCGCAGTCGATGGAAAATCTCTTGTATTTTATTTGGAGGAGAGCCACGCAAAACGGCGTGCGTCTGCTATGGCTTGGTACGATAATTGTTAAGGCAGGTAGGAAATATGATGGGCGAGTTGGATAAATTAATAATTTTTGATTTTCTTTTACATGATCCGTCATCACATCTATTATGGGGATCCTAGCATTTCTTGTATTCGATTCGTTTTCCTCGCATTCATCGTCCACAATGGTCTTCGAATATTTCTTGTTGTTTCAGCTGCTGGTTATCAATTTCGTCTTCTTTATGAATTTCGTAGAATGCAGGTCCAGTCGATTCTCATTCCATTCTTGGGACATCTGGACTAAGACGTTCCCACGTGTATTGGAGGAGAGTATTGTGGCGGGGTCGAACTAGGAACTTTGCTTCCTGATCGACGGTATTACTGACCACTACGTTATCCTCGCCCCGAATTAATAATGGATATTAAAAATGAATAATGAATTAATTTTTACGAAGAATTCTTGGGGCTTCCTGTGCTTTCTGTTCTTCGGAGTAAAAAACAAATCGGAAAAGGAGAACTGCTGATAATGTCGGGTGAGTCGTTGTCCGATGTAATAATGCCTCACAACCTCGTACTCTTCGACAGTTAGATTTGTGTGGATACACGATTATTACATCGGTGCACAAATTGAGAAATCTTCATGAATTGCTTATGACCAACACTTGAGAGCTATCAGAGAGATGACTAGATGTGCTGTATAAAAGGTTGTCCCGTGTGGAACAGCAAATGTTGACAAGCTGAGAGGATTTATTAGCCGCTGCCTGTTGGGCATTGTTTTACTACGATTGAGGAATTGTTGGAATTCGAATCATCGTTTTGAATACCACTCTGCTGGAGTCCTTGTTATAAGGAGAATTAGATTTGAAAGTCTCTTGACAAATCTCCACTTTGCTGATAATGCGCTGTGTGACTGTCTAGGCAGTATGTACAACATTATGCCACTAATCGAGTTCATTTACGGAGAATACAGCAGAATGTACAAGCCATGGAAGTACGAATGCACCGAGAATCCTCTCGTACAATTTAGAGGAAAAGTCGCCTAAAGCCGGTATACCCGCATAAGAAGTACAAGGACTAACATAAACGATTCAAACAGTTTATTTTAGACAAGAATCGGAAGCTGTATGTTAAGATTTCCAATTGCGTAGCATACATGTGTATACAAATCGTGAATAGGAGATCGTTAAGTAAATGTGAAATAGAAAGGCAATAAGCGTTGACATGTTGGCGAACGATTGGTCAACTATGTTGAATCCCTTTGATAAGCATACGCTCTGTGATCCTTGACCCTCAATCATATACCACCTTATCATAGTGGAAAGCTCTTCCTATGTGTCAAATTCCAATCTCCAGGTAGAGGCATTTCTACGTGTCATAGTCGTCTCTTAGTGCACATTTCATTAGGAATGGTCACTCGCAGCGCAAAAGCTTATTTTAGTTTTTAGTTTCTATGAATAATTATTTGTAAAGCGCAGATTTTTATGAGCGAAAACTTGGCATACCATTTGCAAACTATCGGCTGAATACAGGAAGTGCTGTAAATAACTTCAGTGAAACAATATGTAGCGCTAAAGACCCGTGCATAGAATGCAAAATATCTGATCGCCAGTGTGTTAGAAATCCAGAAACAAAGAAGACTTGCAGGCGGAGCTTAGCAATATGTAATCGTTCGAATGTTAATTGCACTTCTTCAGGTACAGAAAAGAGAAATCCCCATTTCTTAACTCATTGTCGTCGACCTGATACCGCAATTACAGTGATGATCAGAAATCGCTGCACATTTCATGTATTGCAAGAGTCGCTGACAACTTATCACGAAATGAAGTGTCACTGAGGGTCCGAATCCGAAGAGTTTCGCTCCTTAATTTGAAATTTCCGAGCGCTTCAATGACAATTCTATTTTTTTTAATAGTTGCTACCTTCCATCTCAAACAAGTTGTTGCTTAAAGTCTTTTTTCACAGGCTAATGCAAGTAAACTTTCGTTCGAGAGCAGCGACATACTATCTTTTTTCAAAATGAGGACTTTTTATGCAGTCCGACTCACACATTACGCGGCTTCCAGCACTTTTTACATTCGACTTGTTTCCTAGCATTCGTATTCCATGAGTCTTCGGATTTGTGTGTATGGTTTCAGCTTGAGCGTCTTTTGATTTTTCTATGAACGCCGTTGATTGTTAGCCCAGTCACCTCCCAGGAATCCTGCCATAAAGTTCACTTTTTGTTTTCTGCCTTCTATAATTTTTATGGTAGGGTATTAAGCAAAATACAACCACAAGATTGCTGAGATATTACTATATTATTTCACTTAATACCCTGCCGCAAAAATTATAGGAGGCAGAAAATAAAAAGTAAACATTGTGAATTCAACTACAGCCTCAGCTTAACTGGGTTCAAGGCCGATGTGGAGTCGCTGGATCAATCCCGTTGACGGGTGATTGCTGACTGCGCGGATCGGTGGAACTAGCTGAGAAACAGGCGAGACGAAGAATCCGCATGTTGTGGTGGTGAACGAGCTACTCCTCGGAAAGGACAATAGCGCGTTCGTTCCCCCACTGCTGCCACATGCGGTCCGGAGTTTTGCAAATATCTCAGCAATCTTGTGGTTGTACACTTTCTGCAATAATTCCTTGAAAAAACGATGTTTCTGGAGTAAGCCGAGTAGAGAGCTGTGAACCACTGCTAAAGCCGAGTTCCGTCACAGGAAGGTAGCACTCGATGTATTAATTTTGAAGAACCGATTTTTGATTAAATTCACCGTTACTAGTCAATAACTTCATTTTAGAGCTGAAACGAGGTTGTTAACATGTTTTATGATAATCGACGACTAACATGTTTGCGATTTTGCCATTCCCAGTACCGTTGTGGTTTCTAACGAATCTCCCTCATATTATGGATCTCAAGCCGGTTACTCGCGAGGCTACGTGGCGCGTCCCCAGGTGGCAGAGATGGGGTTAGTTGCGGACCAAAAGCGACCTTTGCTTCCCTGAGACGCATGTGCATCCAGGAGATGGAATCCCTGTTTCTGCTGCGGCGATTTTGCACATACTTTCTGTACTTGCGAGGCGTGCGGCCAAAAGCTTGCAATTAAGTGACAGGAAAGTGTATCTGAAGCGGTTAGGAGTCGTCTCCAACAAATAAGCTCCATGTCCACTCTGGGTGAGCCTGACAAGCTACCCGTGGGTATGCCCAGTCCCCACGTTCAGAGCCCGTGGGTATCAAAAAATGCTAGTCACAGTAAAAAAAAAAAGCGGGCCTCATTCCTCTGACCCCAAAAGAGCCCCCAATTTCGCAGCGTTGGGTAGGACATGTACGGAGAGGGTGCTAAAATCTCAGCGCCTATGGAAGCTGCCTGAATTTGAAAGAACTATGGTGACGATCTGTACCTACAATGCACGTACACTTGCATCTGAGTCCTCGATAGAAGACTTGCTCATGCAAGCAAAAAGGATAAAGTGCGACGCCATCGGACTGGCCGAGACGAGAAGACACCAGCCTTTCAACGCCGTCTATAACAACGGTGAAAAACAGTTCCTCGCAGCACGCGACAGTAGAGTAGTCGGTGGCGTCGGCGTTCTCGTCAAAACGAGTTTGCACATGAACATCGATTCATTCAAACAACTTACAACCCGTATCGGACGTTTGTGACTAAAGAAAATGTGGATCAATTCCGGCTTTGAAAATCTTCAACGTTTACACGTCGACATCAAACTATGACACAGAAGAAGTCGAACCGTTCTATATGGACTTGGAGATGCTCTACAGAGAATACCACACATTCTTCAAGGTTATCAGGGGAGATTCCAACGCCAAGATTGCACCAAGAAGAACGTCACATTGGGACCCACGGATTAGAATGGAACGAACAGGGTGAGCGGCTGAGTTTATCATGGCGACCAAGACCATCCATGGCAACTCGCAATTCCAGAAGCCCCACCCTCAGCGCTAGACCTGGGAGTCTCCCAATGGAGAGTACCATAACGAAATAGACCACATCATAGTAAATAGGCTTTCCCTAACCGATGTCGCTGTTGTCCCAAAATTCTACACGGAATCAGACCACCGTCTCCTTCGTGCGAGGTTCTATTTTTCGCGGAGAGGAGAAAAAGCTGGTAAATTCCAAAACCGAAGTCCCAGAACCATCGTAAACTGGGACTTATTCAATTCATTAGTCGGCTGTTGGGAGGATGCCGTTCTCGATAACATCGACGAAGAATACGATCGGCTCATTCAACATCTTCAAGTCAGCGCTATGAAAACTGAGAGTTTGAAAGTCATCAAGGGACGTCTGTCTCTAGGAACACTCGAGCTCATGCGCCAGTGTGAAATGGCACGAGCTAGAGCCGACCGCGAACTAACGTCCAAACTTGCAAAGCAATGCAGACAGGAGATAAAAGGAGATCTTAGAGAGA